GCGCGACAAGCGGATTACGATTCAGAATGAAAATTGACTGCATGATGCAGTCCGTAAGCTTTCGCGTCGACTCACCTTAACTGTCTGCGAATCAAGAGCCTCTCGTAGATAAATCTCCACCATTCTGCTTATTCGAAAAGTGCCCTTCGTCGGATTATGCAATAACCAGCCGCCATTGCTACATATTCTACTGAGTCGATCGGACAAAAACATTAGGAACTCGGCCTCATCAGTGTCAACGACATCAACTGGCACGAATAACGCCCACACCTGACAAGGAGGACATGGATTAATACTCCAAACAACATGGAATAATAAAATATAAACATGAACATGTCAAAAACAGGAAAATGTAAATCTACACTATCTATTTCAATATAAATGTGCCAGAATAAGGTGAGACTAAGAGAAGGGAAAACGGAAGCGTGAATGGATCAAGCGGTAATGAATCGGTGGGGTCCATATCCTATTATTATATTTCTTCACATCTGCATGTTTCGTACTATAAACAAAAGAGCAACTGAGAAGGGCGGATAATATTGTAATAAAGATTCATACAGTTTGTTTGAATGTTCTGAGAGCATTAATTTTCCACTTTAATTGACCAATAATTATAGCTTTATTGCCCGAACATACTATTTATAAATGGATGCCGAACCAAAGAAACTCCCCTGTGGGGTAGACAGGGACCCGACCTTTGATGAGACTAATCCACATTTCTCCTGCATAGAGCCTCACCTGAAGCGGAATGTCGTCCTCCGACGGCAAGATCGCGGCACACGCAAGAGTATCTCGCTCGTCTGATGACAAACGCTCTACTGATGTCGTCAATGACATGTGCATCGAAACGTACTCATATGAGCTTTTCTGAGTCAACCACGACAAGCCGCGTTCTTCTAAGTGGCGGGAGAATGTAGCCAAACTGAATTGTGCATGATAAAATAAGCGACAATCATTTACAAACTAACACAAAACTATTCAGAGCGGGGATGGCGCAATGGCTAATAGAAAAATCCCAAACTAACCCCCCTCCCCAAATTGGAAACCAAAGCAATCCAGGTCTCAAACCTGCTGAGGTCGATTAGCTGGTTGGAACCAAACTCGCTTTAAATTATAAATCCACTGATTTACCCAAGCAGGCCTGCTTTGCATGTAATTGTATGGTTTTTGTGAGTGTTCAAAAATAAATACCTTCACAACTCCGAATTAGGGAGTTCGGATGTATTCCACATCCAAAAGGATCGAGGATAATCTCAATTCGACTTTCTGCTGTATAATTGGCAAATTCAACTCTCGTACCCCTTGTATAAGATCTCTTGACCACCTTTCCTTCACTGAATGAAAGAGTATATATATTGACACGCTCAGCTAATCGATTTAATGAGTTCAGACTGTTACAGTGACTCCGAAGAGCACTTCAAGCACGGTGTTTGGCATGAGAAACCGCCCCTCTCCCCTCCATGCAGTCAACATCCCAACAATTTCGGATGACGCCTATCCCCTTCAGGATCCGATAGGGACACTAAATTAGCAAGTCTACGCAGCGATGGGTTGAGGGACGACAATCTCCGAAATTCCCATGTCAGTTGTTTAGTGTATAGACAGACCCACACAAGTGGAGGAATTGAGTGACAGAGACAAGCGAATAGACCTTGAAGCACCCACAGCCGCCCTAGTCTCGAGCCCTTGCTACCCCCGCCCACCCGCGCCTGTTCACACTTGTGTATTTGGCAGACTAACTGTTATCTCAGATTCAACGCCGATCCCGCTCGACGCTGAAGCGGCTTTTTGAGCATATTCAGCAAGGCAACATTTCCACTGGAGACTGCGAATGCAGCGCTAATGGCCGACTGATCTACAGAAAGGTATTAAAGTAGTGTATGTCATAGAAAAGTAATCTACTTTCACCTACTTCTTCCCTTCTTTCCTTGCAATGGTGTCGCATCAATGGAGAAAACTCTGTCGCTTCTGCAGAAGTGATGCCGTCGACGTGGACAATGTCAACAGAGCATAAAGCACAGGCGAACAGCTCTGCATTTCTACTGGTTGCCAGTACACGAAGCTGGAACAGCATTTTCCAAACAATCAGAAACAAATACCGTAGTTTCTTCTGCACCCTTACGTTCTCTGCAAGAAATCTTTGTGCGTGTTACCCTTGCTGCTCTCGAGACAGTGAACAGCGCGGCACGCGTGGTATAAGCGAAAGTTGATTTGGATGTCAATGAGTATTGTGAAAAGGCGGAAGTGTCCTGCATAAACTTATAAAAGGATAAAGGATAAAGCATTTGCCGTTGATCAATCCCTTTTTGGGATGCGGCACGCATTCTACTTCCATTTGTACATTCGCAGTGGCGTTTGAATGCGATGTGGCCTATACAATGACTTGCGGGGGCCAGCCGATGTTCAAGTCAGTGTTTTTATCCTCCCAGACAAGTCTGGTACCAATTAACCGACCCCGGAGGGATGGAAGGCTTGGTTGGCCCGGGCGACTCACGACCCAGGATTTGATCCCGGACCGCTCGCGTGGTGAGCGCGCCACTTGTCACTGCACCACTTCCGCCCTCCTTGACAATTAAGAGTAAATAAAAGCCTCCAATCGATAAGATGGTTTCGTTTCCGCCAACGCACTGAGGGGTTTTTATGTCTATCCCGATGACTCCAAGTGGCAGAGATAACCGGCCCCACTTTCCCAGCCATCGTGATCGGACCTTCAAAGAGTAAGTGCGCGCTAAGCCAAATTCAACGAGTAGCCATAGCGAGCGTCGAAAAAACGTGAACTGGCGATGGCTACGGTCCTTGGAACCAAACAGCCGCTCATATTTCCCCTGAACATTGAACCATAAAATTAGTTCTATGAATGGAACTATGCCGTGAGAGAGTTGAACTAAAGTCGCAGAAAAAACAGTGCCCGCCAAAGAGGAATTACTTTCTGCCAACTATTTCTCAAAAGCCCCATGCCCAACGTGGAAAAAACTCACGCCAAGCTTGATTGATCCATTTCACCGTCTCTTCCTGTACAACGTCATCCAGAATAACGAGCACATTCGGATTATCAATCAGAGCCTCTTGGATCTTGACAGAGCATTTTTAAGTTATCGAGTTCACAAAAGTAAGAGATCACCTGTTTGCATAAATACACAGAAGACACATCGACCAATCTTGGAGGATCCGAACTCTTATCATCCCTAGGAAGCACTTTTGAAGATGAGAAACAGCAATTGCAAATTACACACACAGTGGCATCTTTTGTTCAGGGTAAGGTTTTTCCAGTTGTTCTTCTCGAATCTAACTCGTTCTTACGTTGTTGTCATTCAGTAACCTTAGCGTTTGGTCCTGTTACTGAGCGCTTTAGTGCATCAGTTTCACTTATCTTTTCTAAGAGCATGGAAATGTGAATGGGATGACACATCTTCTCACCTGGTATCGCATTGAAGATCAACGGCAACCGCGTATAATAATAAGCCACTTAGCACTTCCTTTAGCAATCGAATGGAGTACAAGCAAACACTTTTGTAAATTTGAACGCGTTAAATGTAAAATGTTACCGTTAAAGTCAAAAAATGAGTATTTCGTTTGTTCTTTTTCGCATGGTTTGCCAGCCATCGCGTAGTTGTGAAAGAAATGCACTGATAATATACTCTTATACTAACCATTCCTCTCACCAAAGAAGGCTCCCAGTGATCACAATTGTGAAGATCGAAACTGCTATGTAAGGCGAGGAAGCTCTGGATGGTTAAAGTTAGTTGGGAATGCTACATTGGTATAGTGATATTTGATAAAAGCCTTCCTGCAGGAGAAACCGATGGCCCCGATTACGATTATAACATCTATTCCTGGCCATTTGTCATAAATCTGGACGCACCAACCTAAAATGCAAAAATTCTGGTATCACGACGAATCGGACTTGGGACCAATTTCATCGCTCACAATCTTCTCGGCAGGTTTACGAGCAGGTTTGGTCGCATATTTATGAGCATCATCCCAGGCCCTATCGATTCGCCTGGATCCCAATCAGAGTCAACCCTGCGTTGCGCAGTTCGCAACGGCACGTTGAGAGATCCTCAACGCACGCTGTATGGGCGGAGACACAGACGGCTCGAGCATGCGAGTGTGAATGTTCGCGCGAGAGAACGTGTCTAATCGGGCGAAACTGCGCAACGTGGCCGTTGAGAACTGCGCAACGCAGGGTTGACTCTGATCCCAATAAATCCCTTCCTGGTCTGTCTCACGCTCTTTCACCATCATCTCTGAATTTTTCATCCTTTTGATAAATTTAGTTACTCGCACCATCAAATTAAATGCTCTCGAAACGCACATTCGCGGGATGGAAAAGGAACGAAAACCGGGAGCCCTGAAAAAGTTATGACGTAAAAAAGGCTCATTCACCATAGCATAAGAAGAAGATCCGTGAAAAGCTTATGCGCCTGGTCTCGTTTGGAACGTGAGTCCTGCAGCCACACCACCGACTCAAAACGACTGGAACACCAAAATCAACAACGGAAAACAAAATTAAGAAAGCACTGTTGGTGAAGAAATCTCTACCCTCCCAACAAATCTGGAACATCCGCCAAAACGGCTGCCGCTAGTGTTGATTTACCACATCCAGCTATGCCATGAGAAGAACAACAATAAACGAATCTGAAAAACTAGCAATTTGCAGTAGCGCCTGGTGTGTTGAAATAGATCCATTACATAGAAAACACCAAAGAAAAAGGAGGATTATTAAGGCCATAATAACGCGTAGTTTATGCCAACGTGTATGCTCACTCCTCGCGCTAGTTACCTTACTATTTACATAAGTCCCTGCACACACTTTGCCTCACAAAATTGAAACACAAGAGCAAAGGAAATACCACTAGATCAGAAAAAAAAAGATGTGTCGAAAGAGAACCAAAATTGGATATTGAAGCACAACATCCTTTCATCAATTTCATTTTTGGAAAAAAAACGACTTCTCTCACCGAGGTCACTTCGTTCTCTCAATACTTTGGCGACATCATTCTGCAACTGTGTTCTTCGTACATGCTGATACACTCTCGGAACACCTCCTGCGAACAATTTTCGTAGCCGAAGATGTTCCGGAAAATGAGACACTTCGGTAGAAGTTTCATAACTGAAAGGCAAAATAGAACAACAAGCAGGAAAATTATTGAACGAAACGGAACCTTAACAATCGTCAGTTAATACCTATCTAGAACGTGTTCCAAATCAGTCCTCAACAAATCTGCGATGTGTTCCTGGCCCGCGAACTCAAAGTATGAAATAAGCGGCTCACAATCCGTCGCCTGTCTGCGGTATATCCGTAAGAATTCTCTCATCCTTTCTAATCGAGTTGCCTGCAGGAATGCTGCATAAATAAAGCTGCATACAAGGTAAACAAGTAAATGTCAAAATGTGAAACAATTAAATAGGAATATTTAGATGTCCCACACATCGTCTCACTCTGTGCGACATCTCTGCTCTCTCAGGTATTTCCACACAGTCCCTCCTTTCTCGTGTTCCTTCCCTTAACGCTATGACTCACCCACATTTCGCTTTCAGGAGAATCTTTGCGTGGCTTTAATATTCCTGATAACCTGACCCCATCCCATACAACATGTGGAAGATCACACAACCAATTGTCTCCAGAAAAACCATTGGACTTCGCTCAACGTAGGCTGGACCATGGCGCGCCGCGCCTACAGCGCCGGCTATATTGCAAACACGCACTCAATGTCAACTCGTGCGATCGCACCTCGCTCACATCAAGTTAACTGCTGAAAGCGAGTGAAAGCATTCCACCGAAATTCCATAGCCGTAGGAATTATATGTAATCCTCTAGAAAACAACACACCTTTGCCTCAATCTTCTCTGCAAGATCCGCAGTAAGCAGTCCAGAGCTTTCCAGATAAATCACCGCATCCTTTGGATCAAAGTCCTTTGCCAACGTGTCAAACGCAGACGACAAAATGCGAGATTCCGGTTCGCTGAGCATTTCCAGCTCCACGTGAACGGAATACTTTTACTGAAATTAACAACAAAACAGTATTCAAACCGACGGTAGAAGAAGCAGCTGGTGCAAGTAGTTCCACAGATCTGTTTAAAAAAAACTGGTTACAGAGGAATATTAGGTCATCTCATTCAAACATGTCCACGGTTTTATTCGAATAAAATGAACAGCAGGAAAGATAAAAAGCTAATACTTTGGTGTTAAGTCAAGCAGATCTTGTCGTTGTTAACGACCCGATCCCAGCGTCTAGAAAACACTGGACACCGCGCAGCTTCTTCATTTCAACAAGTATAGACAAGATGCTTTTGATGTCAGTATAGATGATCAACGAATTGTCGTAGCGCTTCCCAACGAGTAGGGCGTTCAGTTCGATAAAACAGCTGAGGTCGCACGGCTGCAGTTGGGAAAATACGGCTGATAAGAAGAGGTCACAATATCCGTTTGGTCGAAATACCCGTGAGCAATATGAGCTATGTAGGGTCTGGTATCGACATAGGTGATGATATCGTTATTGTAGTTTTATACTGCTATTCCTTTGTCAATTTGTTCGCTAAGAAACAAGCCATAAACTTGAGAAACGCCGGAGGTTTTTTCCCGACAGAGCCATTTAAGAGGCACATCTCAGAAATCCATCGCCATAATAATCATCCACGTGAACCCACGTGACTTCTCGTGATCCAATTCGGGCAGTTCCTCATTCGCGTTAATCCAAAGTTGACACTTCTGACTTGGCCTCAGCGTACAATTACACACAAATTTCGTTTATGAGCAGGGTCCAGTTTGATAGTCTTAAATGCCGTTATTGGCAGAGAAGAATCATTGCTACAGACACCAATTCGATTCTGGACTCCTGCATCTGGGAGTAAATGGGATATCCAAAAACATGTTCTGTGGACCATCCCCAATTTTTGGGCACAATTTGCGTAACAGGTGCAGCTAGACTGCAAGTCTCGTGGGCAAACATCGCAAAGGTTCAACATCTGTGATGCGCCATTTGAAACCTCATTTCATCCACCCGCTCTTCTTGGGCAAGGTGGGCAATGTGAGCGCGTCCTCAACCACAACTCGCATCCGTTCTTCCTTCTTTGAGCTCTCACACCATATCTTCAACGTAGCACTTCGAGAACACTGTATCACGCGTAAGCTTGAGCCAGCACACAGAGAATTCGAGTTGCGAATTTTACGTGTGTCACCAATCATTTGGAAATTCCGCCTCGATTTTGGTCACTATGAGTTCTTATGTTTTTAAGTGTTCCTTCTGCGGCACTACAAACTTAATTGGGTATACCGTAGCTAGGTGTGCTAGCTTCAAACAAAAGCAAGCAGAATGCTCTAGCTCTTTTACTTTTCCCACCATTTCTCTAGATGTCTGGACATGTTTGAATGAGATGACCTAATACCATCAGCGACGCACCACCAATTTCGCCAACTCTTTTACATACCATTAGCTTGGCATAAATTAGTAAGTTAAGCCACTGAACACATAAATTAACGAGCGTGAGAAAATAGCAGTGTCGTGAGCGGTTGCGTTGCATACTCGTGGTACTTTCGCACCGCATCGTATTTCTTCTCAGATAGTAACATGACCACTACGACCCGAATTTAGCCATAGATCACGTCACGCAAACAAAAACAGGATGAAAAGTATGAGGTAAAAAAGGGAAAACAGAATGACCGAAACAAAGAACATGGTTATTGTGGACTTTTCCATGCAACATATACATAGTGGTAGTGTCACAGAGCAAAACTATTTTATTTATACAAGAACGCACAAATGACAAAGAAAAACAATCACCGAATTCACTTGAGAACATGTATATGTACGTCCAGGCAACAACAACAATAATAATTTTCATACATGGAGGGCAAATGCTAGGCAATTTTCCACAAAACAACAAACGATATCGTCATCATTTATCATCATGATCATTATAGAAACTCTGTATGCAACGAATTAAAGCTCAGTACACGTAATTGAGATTTTCAACACAAGTCTCTTCACGAGTTGTGAGGAGATGAGGTCTGTTGCCTCGCAACTGTCGGAGGCAGATCTTCTCCCTGTGATGACTGCGATGGAGCGGGAGCAGAACCGGAAATCGAGGCAGAGACAGAAGCAGAAGTAGAAGGCGTAGCTGAGACGGAGCTGGAGCAGATGTCGGAGCTGCAGTTGGGACTGGTGTAGACGGTGATGGCTCTTCGCCTGCGGTTTGCTGGGGAGGTGCGATTACCACCTGAGCAACCGTCTGTGGAGATGCGCCTCGCGAAGCAGGACCTAGCTGTCGATTTTGCGCCAACAGTTGTCTCTTGACAGTGACGCCAGTCGCTGAAATAAATTGAGCGAATTTTTGGTTGGAAGGAATAAGACACAAATGAAATATAAAGCATAAGAAGCATTAGTTGTCCTTCAATTCAGAGTTCCAGAGGAAGAAATCGAAAATGTTGAGATAGACTAATCGTGAAATTTTGTAACTGTTAATCACGTCAGCCAATAAAAATTTAAAAGTTAAGTTGGTGATCAAGAATTCTTGAAAGCCCTCACCAAATGAACAGAGACAAGAGACGATGGAACCTGTCCGATAGAACCAAATCTGTGACATCATTCGCAATTTATTTAACTGGATGTGACAGCCGCAACAACGTTGTGGCTCCCAGATGTCCTTTTTCATGTCAGATGTCCGAACTTTTTTTTCATATATTTTCATCTTAACATGCGTGCATATGTACGTTGCATAACACCAGCATTCGTTTTATTATTTAAAGCTAT